AATGATGATGAGATGGTGGATCCATGGAGAGTGTTTCGCGAGTGAATCAGCGTTCAAGGAGATTTTGACAGGTCAGGGAGCATACGCTTCCTTCTGTACTGGCTGTTAGCAACGAGAAAGTAATATTTCCTTAGATAGTAATAGTGAAGCTTCGCTTTCCTGTTCTACTAATTTTAGTTTAGGAGTGGATCCTTTCTTCACTTGGACTTTTTGCGCTCTTGCTTCGAATTTCACCTTCGTCGTCTCGCAGATGTGGAATCTTTCTTTCTTATTTGATATGGTCTTGCCTTCAAGGGATTGGGTTTCTCGTGAAGTGGGCTAGGCAAGCGACGCTTTGGACACGAGAACAGGGCCAGTTGATCCTAGATTCCTTTCTTCCTTCTGGGTTGCGAGAGAGCGAGCCTAGTGGCAACATGGGAATTACAAGCAAGCCAACTCCTGTTCACGATGAGGAATCAGAAAAGAGTCGCTCTTCCTTTATTGGCGTACCTGAATGACCTTTCAGAGAGCAAGCAATTGAAGAGCTAGGCCGAATGAAGCCGTTGACCCGCCTTCCCCTAACTGACACCATACCATGTTCTTAGTTCTTACAACCTCTCCAACCTTAGAATTGAACTAACTGATAAGCGGTCTCGCCGATTCACGTCAGGTGTCTTATTGATTTCTTGTCAAATTCCTACTGAACTGAGAGCTATTCTTCTTACCTTGATGCTTCATTCCTATTTCTAGGAGCTGCTGTAAGGTTGGCAGGAGGTTGATTTTCACCTTACGCACTATTTACGTTTAGGTTCTTGAAATTAGCGAGGAGAACAACTAGGAAGACAGCCAGACCCCCGAGCAATAGAAAGCGAACCTATTGAAGCTATCGAGTCTTTTTTCAAGAAGACAGGACAGCAGACACATCTTTCAAGTCACGTCATCTTACCCCTTAGCATCTTCCTCTCTATCTATCACACTCAACCGGATCTTGAGGTCGTAGATCAGAAAGCAAATGAGTTTCTCTGATGTCCTATTCTAAATCCGGATCTCAATCAGGTTAGCCTGTGACTCTTGATCCATCTGACCAGTGCCCCTCTCTCCCACAAGCTCCCCTTCTCGATCGAAGATAGAAGGCTCACTACGGATACGCAAACAAAAAGGAATGATGGAAGAAAAGCGGAAAGCCCCTTCAATGCCTCTCTCATTAGCAGGTGAGGAAGATAGTCCGAGACTCCAGAGCGAAATATAGGAATTGGCATTGAGAAAGATCAGAAAGCATCTGAGCTAGTAGTTGAAGAAGTTGATAGAGTTTCAATTAACCCGGCTGCAGGTGACGCAATGAGTTCGGAACGCAGAAGATTCAATAGAGACATTGCCCATAACTCAATGCAATAGAAGAGATAGAGACTCAGGCACCTAATATAGAAGGAGATGCACAATTGATCGAGTTTCAACCGAAGCTGTGGATCTAGTTGAAGAAGCAGTTGTCCAGTGAGTTTGATATGAAATATCTTAGCTTAGTGCAGCGAAGCAGATTCTTGGAATGAGGATTAGAAGGGACAAGCAGAGAGTTATGGGTATGTGTTAGGGAAGAGCTTCTTCCTTGCTAAACTGGAACAACAACAGAATCTCTTTTACTTAGTCACTGACCTAGGGGAGAACGATTCGGTAACCTGTTCATACGCCGGAATTTGATTCAAACTGCAGAGGAAGAAGACGGAATGAACCAACCAGATGGATAAGGGGCTCACGAAAGAGAGTTCGCTGGTACCGCTAGCTGTATTTGGAATGAAAGTATGACCGCACACTTCCTCAGACAACGGATCAGCAAGGGAAGCGACGTGGATGGTGTTGATGGCAGGATATGATGTTGGTGATGTCGGGTCTATGGATCCTCCTTTGTAGGACCTAGTCTTAGTCCTCTAGCAGATGGATATTAATGAGTGAATTTCTATGTCCCATTCTCTTGGCCGCGAATCTTGAGTTTTGGATACCTCTCGATAGGTATTCGATCATTTATTCTCGTTTATGGCACTTTCGTTTAGCTACGTTATTAAGGGCGGCTCCCTCGACCAGTTGAGTGGTTTTTTTGTTGACCTTTCTTTCTGACTTCCCTTGAGAAGCCATTTGACTTAGTGAAAAAGCGACTGGAAAGACATCTTTAGGGGTGATTCCCTTTATATGATCAAATCAGAGGTTTGAAAGCCTTTATCTGGCCATACAATCGATAGAAAGTGCATCCTATGTACAACCCATGCGAGAGATTGACTTCTAGCTAGGTTCACCCCTTAGTTAGGCGAGGTTCGCTCCTATGTATCTATCGGGTAAGAAGACCTACTCGACGCTCTAGCTTTCACAATTGACTCTTGCTTTTTCTCCCGACAATCCTCATCTCAATCAGGTTCGCCTATATTTGATAAATGAATGGGCATATATGGTTTTCTGTTTTGTTCGTAGGCCGGGCGATGTGGCCCAAAAGATTCCATCTTTTTATTCATTTAATTGAGCCAAGCCAATATCACACCATACTGCTACTACCACATAGCTATAGCCGTTGCCCTACTTCTTTTTCAGGGGAGGGGGAATTACAAGCAGAGTTGCGCGGTTGGGCCTTGTTCAGACCAGACATAGAGTGATCGTAGAAACCCAGAAACGGAACCATTTGTGGTAACCGGAAAGGGGCTTGCCTGATTGTTTTGACTCTTGCCTGCCAAATCTGCTCTCTCTTTCTCTTGAAGGAGCTACAAGGCCTTGATCGGCCAGGTGAACTTAAGGGGTTCATCTACAATTGAACAGGAAATAGATGAAAGCGTTTTCGACGCTGCTCAAGCTTCCCGAACGGATGTCAAAACGGACGTCGTTTTCAAGGAAGCTTGCGAAGTTGATCGCTCTAGTCGCCTCGCGATTGCTGAGACGTCGTCGTGCGTTCATCGTTGAAGCACGCTTGCATTTCAAAAAAGACCCTTGATCTAGAATCTGTTCACCACAACTTCAGCAACATCGTCAGAGACACCAGTGAGTGAGCTTTGCTTTCTTGGAGTGGCCCACTTTGACAAAGCTGTGGGCCTTTATTGCTTGTGAGTCCTTTTTCTTTGAAATGAATCAACAATAGTAGGTTCATGCTCGTAGGTTTGTCGATGAACTATCTGACTCTCGTAGTAATGAATGTGAAGCCCCCCTTTACTTGACTTGGTATCAGAGGTGGCCACTTCTGCCCGAGTCGCACACTCAAATGGTTCTTTCGATGCGACTCGAAAGCTTGATTTTGCCTTCCATTCTTACTGAACTAAGCGCGATGGAACGAAAGAAAGAAATGGGGCAGCTTCGCCTATCCGAACCGCTACTAAGTCGGAGACTTTTTCTCTCAGTCTACCCCCGATGTGAGTGAGAAGGGGCTAACTCTGCTGAGACACTTTGGGAGCGGTGGAAACCCTGCTGTTCCGACCCCTTTCTTGTCCTCTTTCACCAATTGATTAGCGATCACCTATCCGCCATGTTAGAATCAATCTTGAATCAACCCCCCTGGAAATTGCTTATGTAACAAAGGCGAGTGATTAGGCAAGAGACCCGCTCTGTCTCAGGAACAAGTCACCATGAAAATCAAAACCTCTCTGCTGCGACATCTCTCACTATTGGTTCCAAACCTCCACATCCTTGACGTGCCCCGATGGAAAATCCTGACCTGCTCTTTCCAAAAAGAAAGATGGCTAACACTACAACAAGACCAGAGAAATCTTCAGTGAAAGCTTAAGACCTAACTGGGGAAGATTTTCCCCAGAAAAGCCCAATTTGCTCACATTCCAGGCTTGCAACTGACGCTCCATTTAGAAGAGTAGAAAGGTTTCAAGCTATAACGAGGCAATGTAATTGAATTTCCCGCTGGTCGTAAGTCACATCCAGAGCTCTTCCCCTAAGGGATCAGCGTAACGCGCTTCTTTAATCACTAATCACTCTATAGCTGGCTTCTTTTATGTGGGTGGACTCTCTTTCTGTAGGTTTTAAGCCTCTTTCTCATCTTTCCCCATATGGATCACCTATCTTTCGGTTTCCTCCCGCAGCTCCCTTCGGTCTCCTTTAGCTCTGCTCTGGTGGACGTGGTTCTTTCTTCTAGCTTTCCTTCATGTCGTAGCCCCTTAGAGCTTATCGACGGGCATTAGATACATACAGCATTTTCTTTGATTGACTCATGCCTTGGAGAAGAAACGTTCTTTGTTTGAGTTAGTTTGAAGTCGTTACTTACCTTGCGAGAGCCCTCTGGGCCCTTCTCCTCTTTATTAAGTCAGTATGGTATGTTGAATCACTTGTGAAGTCGACTTCACTTGACCGTGTCTGCTTCAACTTCACCCGTCACTCGTGTCGTGTAGTGTAGCAAGACTAACAAGTGGTCGAGTGAATTTATGAACTAGCAACTATTAGTTGCAATACCTTTCTATATTTTGGATTCTTCCTCCACTCACCTCCGCGGCGAATATAGTCTGAGTGTATTAGACTATAGGTCATTTGGAAGGGCTCCGTATAGTTCTATTTTGGGGCGTAACGTTGTGGTTGTTCCCCCGACTGTGACCGAGAAAAAAAGTTCCAGAGGCATCTTCCATTCATATCGATTTGGGTTTTTCCGCACCATATTTTGATCTGCCTCTTCTTCGATCCGGAATTCCCAGCAAATCCTTGACTCCTCGAATACAATGGGATTTCACACCTGGCAAATCTTTCACTCTACCTCCTCTTATTAACACCAGAGAATGTTCCTGCGAATTATGACCTTCGCCTGGAATGTGAGCAAATATATCATGTCGATTGCTTAACCGTACTTTGGCTATCTTACGTGGAGCTGAATTAGGTTTTTTCGGTGTTCTCGTTGGAACACGCGGGCGTACTCCTTGCTTCTGGGGGCATTGATCCGAAGCTCTAGTACGGTCCGTGCGCCGTTTTTCTTCTCTACCATGACGAATTAATTGATTTAATGTAGGCATCCGCTCTTTCCTTTGTCCTTCCCCATGTTTTTGCCCTCTCACTAGTGGTTACTCCCAATCCGAAGCACCCCTTTTCCATTCATATAGAGATCCAATCGTCAAAATCAATAAAAAGGCCATCATGGACCAAGATCCAAACGGATCAATCTTGTTGAGAGGTACTGCCCAAGGAAAGGAAAAGGTGACTTCCGGATCAGGGATAATAAATAAAATGGAAACAAGATAAAATCGTATATCAAAACGACTTCTGGCATCACCGGAAGGATCGAAACCACATTCGTAGGCCGACAATTTCTCTGGATAGGTCGAACTATTTACAGCAAATGGAAAAGGAACACCGAGTGGGATCAAAGAAACTAGCGGACTGATCACTAAATAGATACAAATAGGTGCAAATTCTGACATCACCACAGCCCACTTGGTTCTTTCGCTCCTTGCTCGCGGAGCGGCATACCGGAAAAAAGAAAAGAAAGAAGAAAGAGAAATTCCGCGCCCTTTTTAACTAGAAAGAGGAGGTTCCCTTGGGCGACACGATATTGATAGAAGCCTCTTATTCATTATCGGGCTTCGAAATTGTGAAGATTGCGTTCAATATCGCGTTTCGCCTGAGAACGGGGCTATCCTCTTTCGAAAGCTCGGTGAAAGCCAGGAAAGAGATGAATGCTTTTTCTCCAATTTCTCAGGATCAAAGCGCCGGCTATATTTGCGGATGACCTCTTCCGCAAACGGGCCCAGTTCTCTAAAATCATAATTCGAGCGAAGAGAGCCCCGGCTGTTGATTTCGCGGCCTGGACCAGTTCTTCCAGGACCCCCTTATGGGGCTCTCTTTTTGAGAGATCCGTTCGAGAAGTTGGGCATGCAAAAGAGCCCTAATTCGGGGTAAAAGAGTTGGAGCCTCCTCAATGGGAACTTCTACTTCTTCCCGTGTGGGGGCTGATTTATATCAACGTTACGCCGAGGGAAAGGTTTTGAGCTCGATGAGCCTGAACCCCGATCCATCTTTGACTGATCTCGCCTAAGTCCGGGAAGCCGCTTACCTTACACCTAACCTATCCCAACAATCAAAATCAAGGGTAAAGAGTAGGTGCATCAAAAGATTTGCTTTCTCTTTCTAAAAATCTTGCTGTCTTTAATTATCCACTGAAAGACAGCGGGGAGGATCTTGAAAAAGATGCCCTCTAACATTTCGAGTTGAGAATTCTCGTCACGCTTTTGAATTCACGATTTGATGTTCTAGATTCCTCGTCGATTCTTCCCCTCGTTCCTTTTCTATTGGGCATCTCACTTGGAATGAAAAGCATGATTTTAGATCTTCTAATAAGGTACACTGAACACCAACCCAATCTCTTTTAATCAAATCCGTTATTGCAAGAAAACTACAAACAACCTACGTGAACGGACGCTTTCAGTTAGTTATACTTTTTGAACTATATAAACAAATATAACAAGCGTGCAATATTGAGAAATGTTTCTCAACCAAACTCTGGATTTGCGAAGGCCGAAGGAGAATAGCTTGCAAGTTAGACAGAATTTTGGTTAACCATGAGATTTGGACTCTCTTCTCCGAAGCTAGAGTGAATGACTCGTACTAATGGACTCTCTGACCATGCGCCCCAGTCATTATTCAGTTGAATCGCTCAGTGCAGCACAGCCAGAAACCTTAAAGGTTTCTTAATTGCGCAGTCTTCTCATCCCCTTTCTTAATGGGTGTGGAGAAATTACAGTTGGGCCTTCTTTGGATGGCTCCATATAAATCACTTTCATTGGTTGGCGAAATCGACCCAGCATACAAGAAAAGAAAAGGATTGTATACTTGGGGAATCCCTCGGACGTTTTAAAGCAGTTAGATGGCTAGTCAATTCTTTCGTTGCATTTGGTGTTGATGGGGCAGCGATGATGTAAGGTTTCAGGCGGCCTTTGCCTCTCTCTTCCTAAATCTGAGGGCGTACTGCCTTGTGTTTACAGCTGCACGCAGCAAGTGGACGAACGAATCCGTCACGTCAATAGATCCGTCCCAGCTTTCATAACAGTTTCGCTTTGAAATCCTTCTATGCCCATGCGCGTCTATTGAAGTGGACGCAAACGTTGCTTTTTCCCATTGAATAGAGGCGTGTAGGACTTCGTAACAGACGGCTAGGAACAAGAAAAGGTGGTCCGAGAAAGCTCGACCAGTCAGTTTTCACTTCACTTTATCTATGCAACATCTACTTCCAAGCTTGGATAACAGAAGGAGTTAGCGGGCGGATCAGGCAGATGGATAGCAGTAGCAGAGTCGGCATTTTCTCTCTCTACCGGCTTGGGATAAAAAGAAATAGAAGCTCGTGGCCTTTGGGTGTACGGACCCCTTCCCTTCCTTTAGTTAGCCCTTGTCGTTACGCCCAAGAGGTCTCTGAGCCTTCAGAATCAAAAGAGAGAAAGAAATGGAATGTTGAGATAGCTCTACCAAGAAAGGGATATTGGAACCATCTGTTAGAGCGGGAAAGCTTTGAGTCGGGAAGGGATTCCTGTTGTGAATAAAATAGATGCTCCTCAAAAAAAGGATTCGCTTATATAGATCATCCCTAATCTTGCCCAATATTCCACCAATGCCTAACCCAAGAATAAGATAATGGGTGTAGCACCTGGGAGAGTCACTACCTCTATTTACGATATTTAGTCAAACTTCCCCTCGCTCCATGTAAAAGTCATGGTCCCAGCTGAGCTGACCATATGTCTGTATTTGCGAGGACTTGAAAATTGGTTTTCTTCAGCACATCCATGTAAATCAGCTAGTCGGCCTTCAAGGCGAAACCATTCCTTCAGGCTTTTGGCTGCCTTACCATCCTTTGTTTTGTGCTCCCCTTTGAATGATTGCCAAAAGAAAGCATTTTCACTCATTTCACACCTATATCCGACAGCACTTTTCAGAAAATAGACCTCGGCTAAAGGCAGAAATCGAGTTCTTAGATTTACCATCTATATCCGACTGAACGTTTGAAATGGACTGAGCCCACTATTAAGTGAAAAGAGCTTGGAAATTGACAGGTAAATTGGGTGATCTACCTTATATACGGTGCTAGTGTCGCCCAAAAGCGGTGTATCGCGATTGGAGAGTGCGCTATTTTAGCTTGATGGATTGCCTGTTCTTCTTGAATGGAATGAATCAATGAGAACGGACAGAGGGGAAGGGCAACTTAGAGATTCGTGACTAGTGGAAATTCTGACTTCTATATAAGCGATTATGTGCGAACGATTTCCTCGCTTGCTGGTTCGCTGATTGATTGAGGAGAAAAGTGGAATCAATTCAAAGATGATGCGCTGGCAAGAGAAAGACTTGAAAACATACGATTTGGGGCAGCGAGAGGATGAAACCCGAGAGATGGGAAGGAACAGCAATCAAACATTGCACCAGTAGGCTGGTTTCCATATTGAAAAACCAAAGGAAAGACCTCTTTAGGGTGATTCCCTTTATATGATCAAATCAGAGGTTTGAAAGCCTTTATCTGGCCATACAATCGAGATAGAAAGAAGGAATTGAAATAGCATAGCTTGGCAGACAGGAAATCTACAAAGAAAGAAAGGGCTGCTTTAAGGCAGGTTTCTCTAAGGAATTTCGAACACAAGCTCCTCCGTAGAAGCAGAACAAGCAAGCGCGTATCAATAATGGAATCAAAGATGAGGAAAGAATTTCATAGTCTGTTAACTTAAGGAAAGGACGATCTATTATCTCAGCAAGAAGTTAACAGACTATGAAATTCGATACAGTGGCCTGGACGACTTGCTGCGCATTAGCTTGGTCAGCACATCGATTGAGGCACTACATGTTGAACTTCACCACCATGCTTATATTATAGCAAGGATGGACCCCCTGAAGTACATATTTGAGAAGCGCCCTCTCTGACATTAAAGATAGCCCGAGGGCAGATGCTCCTAACAGAGTTCAACATTGTCGTTGTCATTCAGAAAGCAGTAAAGGGGCAAGCAGTGGCAGATCAGTTGGCAGAAAATCCTCTACCAGATTATGAGCCGATGAACACCTTCTTTCTTGGTCTCACTGGGCCTTCCCTTTGAAAAGTAAATAGCATAGGAGATCTGCTTTCCTATCAAAGCCGGACCTTTAAGTCTCGCTTAGTGGAATATCTTCAGATATTATAGATTCTAGTAGGAGAGAGGGGGATAGCACATCTTAATAAGACATTACTTAATGCCGACCACACAAAATGAAACAAAGGAAAACACCCGACAAACCATCCCGAAGCGAATCATTATTTGGAACACCTTGAATAGCCCATTTAATTGGGATCTCGTCCTTCTACCTTTCGAGCAATGCCCTCATCAGATGAACGAACCACAAGAAATGCCTTACCGGCCGGCCACGAACGAATTCACTCGCTCTATCGTTCTTTTCTATTTGGTAATGAGCGCTGTCGTTGGGACCTTTTCAAAGGAATTGAAAGCGAGAAAAGTTCTCATAAATATGATGCTTTTACGCAAGCACTTTATTTATAGTGTGCGCTTTTGTCTAGCGCGCTTATCTAATTTTGATATAAATGTTATGGAAGGTGATTTCAGTCGTGTGACCTACCAAATGGCTTCAACCAATTCATTACCACTAAAGTAATAATTTCTTTTAAGAATGGAAAGTTTGAGCAGCCTATGTGTTGGACAAGACTTGGCTCCACATGTTCTAATGTGGCACTTCACTTCAGTCTTAGAAACCTCGTATTTCCCACTCCGTCGGTCAAACCAACGATTTCGCGGAGTAATGGAGAGATTTGAGTTCAAGTTCTCGGTGGAATCAGCATTTAGCGATGGGTCTTCGCTCAGGCGTCTCTTCGCAAATATAGTAGTACTGCACAGGAGGTTGGTCTCCTTGACCAGCAATTTCATTGGGGAGCGCTTTCTTTGGTTGGACTAAGATCCAAATCCAGAAGTCTCCGGTCAAAAAATAGGCAAGGAGGAAAAGAGGCTTCCATTCACCGAGATTGACTCTATGCCTCAGGTCGCTAACTAAGGAGTCTGTGACTTCCCCCCGGCCGGGTAAGAGTCTCTATTTCTTCTTTTTTATGCAGTAGTGAATCGGGCAGAGGTAGAAGAGAAATGCACACTTGGACAAGTTTTACAAGAGGGTCATCATATACTTACGCGAGCTAGGTAAGAGCTTTTGAGCTGTAAGCTCTCAATCAAGCACATACGTGAGATTGGCCCTTTTCTGATTGATAGGTTTGTTGGTTTGTGTGTTTCGCGGATTGGGTTCACCCCTTTAGAAATTGGATGAATTGAGTTGTCAACATGAAAGCGTAAGAACTCCACAGGTGCGTCTTACTTATTTGGTTGCAGTGGGGTGCTTGCTATTGGTTTTCGTTTGTGTTCTGGTCTTGCAATCGCACAACGACGTTCCAACCAGTGATTATTGCCTTTTTCAAATATCAAAGCGAACCAGACCTTAATGAGCGCGTTCTTTCTAAAGGAAGAAGCCCATAACCTGTGTTGGTTGAACCAGAGGTGGGCTCAAAGCCGTATGTTTTTAGGGCAAGGTCTTCCCCCCGGTACCTAATTGGCAAGATCGGGCAATATCAAATATGGACATAGCGGAATGCTTAAGGGTCTTACATTACTGGTGGATAGAGAATCCAAGTCTACTTTCACTTCCTCTGAAGAAAATCATTTCATGGCTGTTATTGGTAAGCTTGCTTTAAATAGGCCTGAAGTGACGCAAGATTCTACGCGACTCAATAATTCAAAGACAATCCTTACAATAGTTGGGTTGAAATCCAAAGTTCGGACCGCTATCTTAGTGTATCGGATATGTTCTCTCTTTCTCTTTTGAGCGGAATCTTTCCCTCTACTGACGAATTCATTCAAGGTCTTGTTCCCTTCCCGTTAATTGTATTCGATCGGAATTCCAAAGCTGTAAATGGAATGCGGGTTCACGTGTAAGTTAGAGATTGAGTGAATTGCCGGTGAGAGGTGTTCCGCCTGAACCGATCCGTTGGGAGCAGCTTGAATTCTTTCTATTTGTGATGAATTGTCGGATTTCTGGGTGGAAAACCTGCTATATGAGCTTTTTGCCTCTCTTACATCTCCTTTTGTTGATACGCGAATTGAGTCATTTTGACAAGAATTCAAACTTGGATTATCATATCAAAACCGTGAGATAGAAGTGCGGAGCCTTACACTGTGGACCGAGACTACGCAAAGGTAGAACACCATAGAAACTTCGCTGACTTTCTCATAAACCTTGATTTCGCTACGCTCAATAAGAACCCGGAATAGCGTAAATCGGTTCGTGTTCCGCGCGTCCAAAGTCAGTCGTCTTTGCCCAAGTGTGAACTGCAGACGACTCTCCAGTGGTTCCATTCCTTCTTACTTGACTTCTGGGTCAACCCAACCCGAATGGGAAGAAGAGGGTCAGCCAAACTGCGGGCAGCTCCACTTTGTTTGCTGAGCAGACCAATCTGGCATTTTAGAAAAGTACAGGGAACTTCTCGCCTAAGGGGGCAGTAGGAATGA